TTGTTGAGTTTAAGGTCAATCTGAGGCATACATCAAGTTCCAGGCTATTTTAGACATAGTGAGACTCCAGTCTCCAAAAACAAGGGTGGGGAAGAAAAAGAAAAGAAACATAAAAAGACAAAGAAAGCAGCAGGCAGGCAAGGGTGGGTGGGGAGGGCAAAGTCCCAAAGATAAAGCTCCTTTCCTAGGGCACAGCCACTCAGCAGAAACTCAGGCGACAGTTCTGTCATCTGGATCTCCTCCAGAGACTTTGCACTAAATCACAGAATCAATGTATGTGTGTGCTGGGGGGTGGAGGGGGCTTCAAAGAGAAACCTAAGTAATAAAGAAAACCAATCTTAATGTCTACTTATTAGATTGTAGAACTGTCAACCAAAACAGAAGAAATTTAAGTGAAACAGACTCCACCAAACTTTAGAAATTACTTGGGCTCAAGGCACTCTGCACTAGACGCTGAAGATGCACTTAATGAGCTAATAGGCCCTTTATCTTCTCTAATTTCTGAGATTCCCGGAATACTTTTATTCTGAGGCCTATTTTATATGAACTGGTGGTTACAGTTCATATTCCAGCACAAAAACATTCTTGACACAACACCACTATCTCCATTTGTATCTCTCTGTCTTGACTCCAAAGAACAGCTAGTGACTCCATTAGCTAAGAGGCAGAACTACGTTACCATCTGCAGTAGGGAAAGAGAAATGGCTACTGTGTCCTCAGGAGTTTGCACGCAAATCTAGCATTAAGAGAGCATGCTTTTTATATTCTGCTTATTCCTAAGAATGCAACTGGAGCTTCTGTCAACATGTAACCACCTACCTCACCAGCTTCTAGGCTATTAAACAGTTAAAAATAATGGCAGAGCCGGAGAGGAGGCCCAGCAGTTAAGTGCACTTACTGTTCTTGTAGAAGACCTGAGCTTGGTTCCTAACACTTACACGGAACAGCTGATAATCACTCGTAACTCCAGTTCTGAAGCCTCTGGCCTCCTTGGGCACTTGCACTCACTAGTGCATGCCCGCACATGTACATAATTAAAATAAAATAATTTTTAAGAAATTAATTAATAAATATGAAAACTTATGTTTAAATGGAAAATAATGTCAAAATACAATGTTCAAAGTAAAAATGGTAAAAAAGAAAAAACAAAAATCTCACAGGTCTGAAACCTCATTCCTCACTATATGATTACACTTGTTTACCTTGATGTCAAAGACATACACCATTTGAATAGTTTCCTAAGAATTTCTTTCACCTTGGGCTAGCAAGATGGCTCAGAGGGTAAAGTACTTGCCGTTAAGTCTGCGTTTGATCCCACATGGAAGATAGTACTACCTTCCACCAACCTGTCCTGACCTCCACACACAAGCCAAAGCAATTGAAGGACCGCCCCACACACAAAGGAATAAATGCCATTTAAACAAATTCTTTGAATTCTGAAAGCATTTGTCATCAGATCTGAGTCACAGTCCCAACCAGCTAACATTAGAGCCAAGAAGGATACTTACACCACTGGGAAGGAACTGAGCATACTTTACATGAGGCCGATCAGTGGCCTTTCCAGAGACGGCCAGCCTTATTTACCATTCTGTGGAATAAAGACAGAAATTGAGAAACAGTTATGTAACTCAGCATTGAGTAAAAAGTTTAATTATGCAACTTTGGAGTATTAGGAGTTAATATCTACTAAACTTTTTTTCCAAAATTATTTTGGAATTTTGAATTGGAGCAAAACTTAAAAAACAAGAAACACAGAAAAATGACATTAATAGCTTTCCAAATGATTTCCTTGGGGGAGAGCAATTAAAAAAAAAATCACCGAATTTAACTTGCTATCGCGAACCACCCACAGAAGTGGATCTAAACTTGCAATGATATGCACACACTCTAATGGCATTCAACAAACCCTTAACTGGAGCGTAAGCCTTGGCTCTCACCCATGCCAGGGCGGCACTCTCCCTCTGAGCTCCACTCCCCAGCTTCCAGCAGTCTTTTCCATGGTATCAGGCACTTAGGAAGACTCTTATAACACAGCTTAGCTGCAGGTGGGCTCTGGGGTAGACTGCTAAGTGTAATGCTTATCTTGCTGCTAGGTGAACTCAATTTTTCTGAGTCTCAACTATCACAAGTATACTGGAGAACGTTTTCAGTTTTTAAGAGGAAGTGATGAAGCACTTCAGAAGCTAGCACTGGTAGTAGCTATTACTACCAACTTAAAGAGAGATAAATATTCTTCTGACTCAGATGACTAACACAGCACACATGAGTGACAGAGTAAGGCTAGCAAATAAATATTCTGATTCAAATCAATATTCACTGTCTCTATCTCTCTCCCTCTCTTTCTCCCTCTCCTACATCTATCCATGGTTTAGGAATCAAAGACCAAAGACTAAATTTATCGGCATTTCAAACCTTAATCTGTAGATGGAAACAACTAATTCCATAAATTGCAAATTAAGATACAAATCAGAAGTCAATTAGTAAAAATGTTGACATGACTCACACTGAAATACCCGAAATACCCATCATCGTTTAATTACTTTAAGCAAGACCCAAGTGTCTACCTATGACCGACGCCTCTGGTGGATGCACAGTAAAGTCAGAAACTCTGTGCAGCCACATACTCTAAACTACAGTGTTAATGAAATTACTGCCATAGCTAACTTTCTTTCTGATTAAAAAACAAATACCTGTCTTTAAAATAAGTGTAAAAAGAGCTAGTTCCAGGACAGGCTCCAAAACCACAGAGAAACCCTGTCTCGAAAAACCAAAAAAAAAAAAAAAAAAAATGTAAAGTACAAAGAAAATCTACTTTTGGAAATACTGCTGACTGCATTTCTCAGCAAAAGTAACAAAATTTCTTCTTACTTTATATATAAAAATATAAACTCCAGGCAGAAAAAGATAATGGTAAACAATAACACAGCAACATATATAATGACAAAATTTAGAAGATGCTAGACCTTCTACACATTTTAACAAAGGCCAGAAACAGGTCTTCAATAGCTTGCTATAGCAAATAATAACAGTGCCCAAACAAAAACCGATCTGATAGCTCTCAGTATTTCTGCCCAGGGGTAAATACTATTAAGTTTCCTGTTGATTTTTTTAACTGTATATCTGACAAATTTTCTTTTTTAATTGCAAACTTAAAAAGGTCAGCAGGATATGCTGGAGGCTGAGGCTAGAGAAAATGAGTTAGAGACTAGCCTAGGCTATACCGTGGGCCAGCAAGATGGCTCAGCTGGTAAAGACATTTGCTGTGCTAGCTTGGTGAGCTGAGTTCAGTGCTCCAAACCCACAAAAAAGTAAAAGAGAACCAACACCAGAATGTAGTGCTCTGACCTTCACCTGCACTGTGACAGACAGAGGAGACTGCCACCCTCCCTTCACCATGCACCCATAGACACATAGTAATGAATAAACAAATAATAAAAACAACAACAAAACAAAAAACCTAAGCCAGAATGGTGGTATAGGACTTTAATCCTAGCACCCAGGAAGTAGAGACAGAGATCACAGCAAATTCAAGGCCAGCCTGGTTTACCCAAAAGTGCCAGGTCAGTTAAGAGCTGCATAGAGAGATCCTGTCTCAATAAAACAAAGAATGGGGCTGTGGAGGCAGCTCAGGGTAACGTGCTTGCCACATAAGCATGAAGAACAGCTGGATTCTCAGCACACATGTTAAAAATAAAACAACAAATTAATTAAAAGCAAAGCAAAAATAATTTGCCAATAAAAAGAAATAATTCATTAGTTAAAACCGGCCGGGCACAGAGGTGCTCTGGAGAAGTGGAGATGAGAGGACCTCTGGGGCCTGCTGGCCAGCTAGGCTAGCTAATCAGTGAGCTCCAGGTTCACTGAAGACCTGTCTTCAAAAAATAAGGGGAGAGCAAATGAGGAAGACACTTGACACTCACCTCTGGCCTTCACACCTGCTCACATACACACAAGCACACACAAACAAACATACAGAGACAGAGATGAAGAAAAAATTATGGAAATTTGCAAACACAGAATCTGGAACTAACTGTTTAATGCACCCAACACAGTTTGGACAGTTAACAAGCAGACACCACAGCACCCTCCCACCCTGGGCCTGGTGCAGGAGTTCCTTCTGTCTGTGTGTTGCTTTCATTGGATAAGTTTCTTTAAACTGCCTTTGCCTAGTTGAACTAGGTGGAACTTAGGTAGGCGGAGAAGACAAAACTGAATTCTGGGAGAAAGAAAACAGAGTGAGAGAACCGCCATGGATCCCCCAGAATCAGACATGCTGAATCTTTCCGGTAAGCCACAACCTCGTGATGATATACAGATTAATAGAAATGGGTTAAATCAAGATGTGAGAGTTAGCCAATAAGAGGCTAAAGACAGAGTTTAGGACAGAACCTGGGGCTCAAACATGTTAGGCGCCACTCCACCACAGCACAACCCCAGCCTGAATCAACTTTTTTGTTAAAGACAAAACAATTAAAAGCTTATGCTTTAGGACATTAATCAGAGGTGTTTCACTCACGTCAAGCATTTTTCCTTTGAATAGTTCCAGATAAATACTGCCTTCTATATTTAGCATCTGTCTGAGAGGCAGATGGTAACTGTGGGGTGAAGAATGGTTGGTGACATGTGAGAAGACAGATTCACACACACAGAAATTTAAAATGCACCACAGTTAGAATATTAGGGCTTGGGGGCTGGGGATTTAGCTCAGTGGTAGAGTGCTTGCCTACTAAGTGCAAGGCCTTCGGTTTGGTCCTCACCTCCAAAGGGTTAAAAAAAGAAGGAAGAAAGAAAAAGAGGGAGGAAGAGAAGGAGAAGACGACCAGATTGTCCAGAGTGGCTCATGCCATCCATCCCAGCCTGGGAAGACCTGCCTGAGTCACAACGTGAGTTCTGGACTAGCCTGAGACCCTGTGTGCCTTCTTACCACAACCACCAAAAAGATATAAAATACTAATACTAATTTCTCAAATAATTCCTCCAGGTAGTTTCAGACTATAAATTTAATGGCTATTCTCTCAGCCAGATTCACTGGGCGAAGGCTTTATGTGAACCAATTTATTGAAATTCACAATCACCTGAGGAACATTAAGGCACTAGCTGCCCAAGGTCAATCAGCTTTTCTTACGGGATTACAGGCTTCATCTTCAAACTGTAGGGTTAATGATGCCATTATCATTTCTGTATTGTTTCTCTGGAGCAAATACTTCAATGTGATGCACTGAGCATGTTCAGCATTCATGATTAAACAGGTGTATCACATACCACGGAGATTTTTTTACTCTGTAAGAATTATTACACACCCTACCTGTCAAGATCTTAGAGCCTTGCAGATACCCCTCCTGCTTCTACATTCCCAGTGCTGGGAAAACTTCGTGGAGAGATTTACTGATAAAGATCTTGCTTTTCTAGATTCTAAGGTTATTTCTTCTCACTTCAACTCACCTGGCTTGACAGACACTGACTACATTGCTGTCCTCCCCCCTCACACACACATACACACAACTTTTAAAATATCAGCATAACATTTGCAGCTTCCAAGCTGGGCATTATTATCTCATTTATCCTTGCAGGACCTTTTTTTCCCCCCAGTATGGTGGTAGAGCTTCCCTAAGGAGCATGGCTCCTCAGACCCAACACAAGACTTCTGAAGAGTAATGAGGGCAACGTTGAAGGCCATGTCAATAGAAGAGCAAATAGTTTGGAACTCACGGAATATGACCTGGCAGACAGCTTACTCACACTGGGTGAGGCTTGGAGAGGCAGAGCCCTAAGGACTAAATGTCCTGAGGACTTCATGCTGTTATTGAGCATATCGCTGTTTATTGCCCTCGAGGTCACCATGTCCCTCAAAATCTATGAGTTGTATGAAAACTCTAAGGGGATTTCTAATCCCTCACTAGGGACTAAGAAAACAGTGATTGACTTTTTCCAGGCATTGCTGCTGGAGCAGATTAATGATACATTGATTGTTAGTAAAGTTAGACTAAGATGTTTTTGTTAATGGCTTTGATGTAGAAAATCTTGGGGAACAATTTAAAGTTAAGAAAGGCACACTTTTAATAGTTGATCGAGGGATTCACTGAGGTCAAGGAACAAGAACAAAGGCAGCCCAGTTATTAGTAGCTGACGTGCCTTTCTAGCTAAAGATGGGTTGGTGATCAAAGGGGATGATAAATTCTTCTACCCATTTCTGCCCCCAGCTTCGATATAATAAAAAAGAACCTGCTGATAATTGGGTGTGCACCTTGAGAATTAAAAGTAGAAATAACTGATTGTTTTATATATACAAAGTTTAGATTTGTGATTATTTCAAATTTTTTATAATATTACTTTTAGAGATAAATAATAAAATGATTGATCCTTTCTTTGTAACAGCAAAATGCAGCCTCAGTTAGTAAAAGAACTAACTGAGAAAAACACCTTGCTTGCTTACACTCTGTTAATCTATAACAAGATGCTTAGACATGGTTTTATGTGGGTCTTTGGGAATAATTTATTTTTTACAAATTAATATTAAAATGTTTAATCATGTAAGGGAAATAAGAAACAAGCTGGTTTTTTCTTGTATTCATTATAATCATTCACTTG